AGATACACTCCTTGGAGAGAACAATCATTGAGAAAGAAGGGCTGCCTATGCACAGGGAGACAGCTTAGGGGACAGGAGTTCATGGAGGGATGGACACTGGGAAGAGGTAACTATGGGGAGGAAGTGGGAGGGGAGCTGTTGCATTGTAGTAAACTGTGGTCAATAGCATGAGACAAAATATAAGTAAACTGCTATATGGAAAGTAAATTTGCTCCGTAAATCTTTGCCCAAATCACAATAATAAAAAAAAAAAGAATGAATCGTGAAAATTCAATATTTTGTTTTAAAGTCAAATAAACATTATCCAGGATCTACAATAAACAATTATCCTGCCTTCTTGTCCTTCTTCCTGAATGCACAGTATTTGAGTTATTAAAGAATTTTTACCTTCTAATGGCACTGTCAACATTCTCTGCTGAATGATAGAAATTTGACAAAAGCTATTGAGAGTCGGAAGGCAGTCTGGAGTGGCAACCACGTGAACACTGCGGAATATAAAAAGTGCATACTTTCCAAACTTCCATTTTCAGCAGGAAAGACTATGAAATAGTAATTACCTATCTTTTCTATTGAAAGAAATAAAACTCAACTTGACAGCTGCATTTTAAAAGCACTTGAACCAAGCAGCAAGGTACAAATTTTCTGTGAAAACTGCAGACCCTCATTAGTCATCTTGTGACAAGTGAAAGGAAAACGGGAAGACAGAGTCCACCCACCTCATCTCGGTATCTTGCTGCATTCAGTTCCACAAAATCTTCGCTGTAGTTCACTGAGAAATTGAGGGCATTCACCAGATGGGCAGCCACATGCACACCTACAGAATCACACCAGGCACAAGTCAGTGGGATATGGTAAATACAGTCACTCTTTGACAGCTACATGAATGTGGAATGCTGAAGAAAAGAGTAAAGCCTTCAAATACCAAAACACTTCAACACAGACAGTTTGGGTATTAGAAATTATGGTGAGAAACCAAATTTTCAAAGACTGTCATGAAATAATCCTAGCAGGTAAGGCCTAGAAAATATTTATACAAGCATACACATTAATCACACACATATATGTGTGGATAATATGTACTCATGAATGCATGCAACTCCTGGCTATTTTAGATGCTCCATCTTTCACCTCTCCCATAGTTCTCACCATGCTATAGATCTTCTATATTCCACTAACATACCTAGAACAAAGGCCACAGAGTCAACTCATAATCTATAAACCAAACCAAACTCACTGCCATTGAGTCGATTCCAACTCATAGTGACCCCTCCACTGGGTTTCCGAGGCAGCAAATCTTTATAGAAGCAGACTGCCCACTCTTTCTTTAGCAGAGTGGCTGGTGGGTTTGAACTACCAGCCTTCTGTTTAGCACTCAAATGCCTTAGGAACTACACCACCAGAGTTCCTTCCATAACCTATACCCAACTGCAGAAGTACTGACAACACTTCATGGGGCAAAACCTAAGGAAAATAATAGTCACATTTAACAAATAATCTACCATAGAGGAATTGCCATTCTTTCTGAATTCTCCTGAAAAGTAGTCTTAGATAGCAGCTATATGAGATACATCCTTAAGGGAAACATCCAACTTCTTTAAAAGGCTTGTAGGTTAAAAGAATTCAGGAGCTCTAACATTAGACAAAGGAGTCCTGGTAGCACAGTGGTTAAAGCATTGGGCTGCTAATCAAAAGATCAGCAGTTTAAATCCACTTGCTACTCTGGAGGAGAAAGATTAGTCAGTCTGCCTCCATAAAGCTTTACAGTCTTGGAAATGCTAGGGGGCAGCTTTACTCTTTGGCCAGGGGCTATGAGACAGAATTAACTCCATGGCAGTGGGTTTGTTTTTAGTTTTTGTTTAATGTCAGACAATGGGAAGAAGTGTGCCTGAAGTATGCATGAATTGTCTCATTTAATTTTCACAACAACGAAGTGCTAGAACCAACCCTATTCTACAGATAAGAAAACTAAGTTTAAGAAAGAATTTAGACAAAGTCACACCACTAGTAAGTGGTAGAATTCAAACAATTTTTATCCAAATCCAAAGCACACTACTCATTCTTGGCGGTACCACTCTATCTCAGTCTCTTGAGTGTTCTCCAAATGAACCAGAATATTGAGACACAAAAACAGAATAAATCAATTAACAAATGTGCCAGAGCTTCCTGGACCTTCTCCATTTCTAACCTCTTAACTTCTCTAAACCTAGTGCAAGAGTCTCTGGGTGGTGTAAATTGTTACTTGGCTGCTAATAAAAAGCTGGGAGATTCCAACCAATCCAGATGTGCCCCGAAAGAAAGGACTCAGCAGTCATTGATTTTTTAGTCATTGAAAACCCTATGGACTTCTACTTTGGCACATATGGGGTCGCCATGAGTTGACACTGACTCTGTTGCAATTGGTTTGGTTTTGGGTTCTAAATCTAATCCATCTCTAATCCTTATTACAGCCTTGGGCCTCATCTCATCCTGGACCCTTACTCCACTACTAATCTTGAATTGTACTGGAATCATCATAATCCCTTTCCTAAGCTTTTTACCATCTCTCACCTCCAGAGATGGAGACTACCAGTGAGAAAGTACTCAGTGATAGTAGAGTAAGGATGACTGTTTCAACAATACGTGGCAGTTTTGAAAAAGCTAAAAGTTTAATGATATTTTTGTAATGATTACATCAAAACATTGCTGAATCAAAATGGCCATACATAAAAATGTCCAGTGAAAACGTCCTTAGTATCAAAGCAGCTGTGTTATACCAAAAGGGTTTGATATAGTAAGTCTTTGATATAGTAAGTCTTCAATAATTGTCCCCTGGTGCAAAACATAGGGTCAAGTCAAAATGGCAGGTACTATGCCTAAGGCACTTGACTGCTAACCAGAAGGCTGGAAGTTCAAACCCACCAGCCACTCCTTGGAAGGAAGATGGGGCAATCTACTTCCGTAGTGATACTGCCTCGGAAACCCAAGGAGGGGTCGCTATGAGTCAGGTCCAACTCAATGGCACATAACAACAACAACAACATGCCACTAGGATAATTAAACCTGAGATTGTAAATTATAATAGCTAATTTGAAGAACTTTATGTGCATCTTCTGATTTAAGTCTTACAATGACCTATAAGGTAGGTGCTACTATCAACCCATTTTACAGTTTAAGGAAAACAAACAAGCTCCGAGAGATGGAGTAGTAGAAGAGCAGATAGGGATAGAACTCTTGAGTCCCTGTACTTTATCACTATGTTTATTGCTTTCTGTTCAAAAAATGTGAAAAGTATGATAGAAAAGCTCAGGATGAAAACTTATTTTAAAATCCTTCTTAAACCAAAAGATCCTTGCTCCACTATTTAACTTAGAATGGAGCAAGACAAATTTCCAAAAATTTTGACAGTTACTCTTCTACTTAATTAATAATATCAAAGAAACATTTACCAAATATAATCTTTGGTAGAGTTATAGTTTATGAATTTACATTTCACATTCTGATTTTCATGAACTTTTAAACTCATGACATATTGTAGCTTTTAGAGCTTAAAACTTTTAGTCTGCTTCTTTTAACCTTTCTAAAGGAAACTACTTACTTTTGAAAAACTGCCATTATTAGCTTGGAGACCAACACTAGGATATTACAATGCAAAAAAAATCATGAGACACACACATTTCCTGCCATCTCCCCTAAACAACGCTCTTTAAACACACTGAAGAGAAATTGAACTATATAACAACAACAACAAAAAAAAATACAATTTGGTAATAGCAGATAACTTACAGAATGATAAGATACCATTTATATAACATGTAACTCTAATGGTATTTTCAGTCACCCCATATACAAGCAGAAGCTGGACAATGAATAAGGAAGACTGAAGAAGAACTGATGCATTTATATTATGGTGTTGGCAAAGTATAATGAATATACCACAGTTTCCAAGAAAAATGAACAAATCTGTCTTAGAAGAAGTACAGCCACAATGCACCTTAGAAGGGAGGATGGTGACACTTCATCTCACATTCTTCAGACATGTTCTCAGGAGGGACCAGTTTCTAGAGAAGGATATCATTCTTGGTAAAGTAAAGGGTCAAATTAAAAAAAGGAAGATTCTCAATGAGAAATGCATTGACACAATGGCAACAATGGGCTCAAACACAGCAGTGACGGTGAGGATGATGCAGCACTAAACAGTGTTTCCATTCTGTTATACATAGGGTTGCTATGAGTCAGAATGACTCAACGTCACCTAATAACAATGGAATATTTAACATCTTTTGACTTTCTTACCTGAGAAAACACAGATAGTAACACCACAGGTTATATGGAATGTTCTGCTTTTATCCAACAGTCGTCTTGTTTGTCTGCTTGGAACCTAAATAAAATAATTTATTTTGCTGAAAATGATGCAACTAGTAAGACATAGTACAAAGTTTCTCACTGTAGCACTGTTTCTAGTATCAAAAATTTGGAAATATAGAAAAGACCTATTAAATATTGGTGAAGTCAATTATGATATATCTAGTCAATGGAACATTCTGAAATTATTAAAGAGAATGTGAGAAGTTTATAAGTATTGATATGGAAACACACACAAGATACATTACTATGTAAACAATTATAAAACCTAAGCTACACTATGCTACTATATCATTAAAAATTAATGATATTACATGATAAGAAAACCACAGGCATTAATCCAAACTGTCATTAGTGCTTGTCCTAGTAGGATGAGATTAGGAGAAACTTTCACTGATTTCTGGAACATCTGAATTTTATAACATATATAATTTCCTTTTGTAGTCTAAAAATGAATTCTTTTTTTTAAGTGAAGCAATCCATTTATACTTTTAAATGTCTGCTTGATCTTATAGAAAAATATCAAGTATCTTTGAATACCTATGCTTCACACCAGGGGACAATTATTGAAGACTTATTAAATGCTGAGACACTTAGGTGGGCACTTTTCATTTCCTGCCACTTATCTTCTCTTTCTTCACACCAAGCCAATGGCCAGCCACAGGCATCAAAGCCTAGCACTTTACAATGGTAGGCAGCCTAGGAAATAGTTATTTCCACAAATTACTGTATTAAAAGTAAAGAGTTTCCAATTATAACTGCATGAAAAGGTTGAGAAATTTTACTAGAGTAAATCCACTGATATGAACTTCACAGAACATCAAAGCTACCTCAAATTAACAGCTTGTATAATATCAGCATCTATTCATCAGTACCTTACTTAGTAAGGGAAAGAACACACACACCTGCAAACATGAGGACAATCAAAAATGAAAAAGTCTCAGTTTAGTTTTAACAAAATGATTATCAAAGTTCTTTTGTGTTTTCTTACATCTTTCATGTTCTAACGATGAATGTCTCACACATATGACATCGCTATCTAATCAAGACATCTTTTCAAGCTTGTTGCACAGCTTAAAATAGGAACGTGTTTTAAGTAGAGATAAATTACTCCCAATACCAGCAATCATCTCGTGTATTGCTCCAAGGCCACAGGGCTCTAGACTGTTCACGTGGATTTAATGAAATGAAAATACAGGATCTCAATGAGGCATGGTAGAGTGAAAAGAGCTCAGAATCAGGACTGATTTTAGCCCTGCCATTCACTAGCCTCATGATCTTCCTCAAGTTATTTAAACTCTCTTTGCCTCAGGTTCCTCATCTGAAAGTAAAGTGGAATTAACAAAGCCTGCTTACAAAACTGTTGAGAGGATTCACGAATACACACGTGAAGAGCTTACCACAATGCCGATACCACTACCAATAATAACTATTTATATTTTCCTCTACTCTTGGCTTGCATTGCAGAATCCTTCGCTGATCATCTTAACAGGCAACACGGCCCTGACTATGATCTTTGAGGAAATCACCCTAGCAGAAAGTCAGACCACAGTCTAAGGAAAACTAAGCAGACTAACATGCTATTTTATACTTGATTTTTTCTGCTGGAATCTGTAACTAGCCTTTTTTTTTTTTTTTCCTTACCTTCCGGGATCCTCGAAGGTAAGCCAGGAGGGTTCGGCACATGGGTAAAAGGATAAGGCTGCAGTTGAGGTTAAGAACAGATGCAGAGGCTCTGCTTAGACACAATCCTAGCTGAACAAATAAAGCAAGGGTCAAAACACAGTCAAAGACAAAGGGAAACTACAAAGAGCCCTGAGCTCCCTTGACACACTGTAGGTCTCACCCTGCTCATCCTTTAAGGATCATACAATCACCAACTCCTTCAAGAGTCTTGAATAATACTTCCTCCTAAGAAAAACTGGTCTCTTTCTGCTCTGCACTCCAATCAAATTTAGTATTTCATTTCTCCCAGCATTGTAATCACCTCAGCACATTCTTCCAGCACAAGGCTGGTTTCTTGCTCTGTCCACTGTACTATTCTGGTGTCAAGAGCCCTAGAGAGCCTCAGTGTGTTCTGCATCTCCACAATGGTTCAGGGCTGGATGCTTTGTTCACTGATACTGTCACAGTTTCAAAGAAGCATTTTCTTTTCTGTGTTCTCTCTCTAACACTCTCTGAATACAACACACCCCCTTACACACCACTGTGCATCCCTCACATTTCAGATTTCATTTTAGGCACTATTTTTCTGGAGATCTTCTCTGACCCTAAAACTAGGGGAGGTCCTACTGTTAAAATGCTCATTGCTTTCTGTACTTCCCTCATTATAACATCTTCTCACTCCTTATTGCAATCACTTGTTTTAATGGATTGTCATTCTCAGGTCGACACTGACTCTGTGAAGGAAGAAAACACATCTGACTTGTTCATATTTGTAACTACCTGATACTATAAGAGGTATCACACCTTGTGGCAAATCCATTGCCATAGGGTCAATTCCAATTCACAGCAACTTTACAGGACAGAGTGGAACTGTCCCATAGGCAGTTTCCAAGGCTATAAACGTTTTTGGAAACAGATTGCCACATCTTTCTCCCATGGAACCACTGACCTTTAGGTTAGCAGCCGAACACTTAACCACTGTGCCACCAGGGCTCCTTACTTTGTATATAAACCAAAAAATCAAACTCACTCCCATCAAGTTGAACTCGACTCATAGCGACCCCTCCTTGGGTTTCTGAGGCAGTATCATTACTACAGAAGTAGATTGCCCAACCTTCCTTCCAAGGAGTGGCTGGTGGGTTTGAACCACCAACCTTCTTATTAGCAGTCAAGTACCTTAGGCACTACACTACCAGAGCTCCCACTTTATCAATAGCTTTTGAATGTTGTTGTTGTTGTTATGTGCTGTTGAGTTGGCCCTGACTCATAGCGACCCCTCCTTGGGTTTCTGAGGCAGTATCACTACAGAAGTAGGATTGCCCAACCTTCCTTCCAAGGAGTGGCTGGTGGGTTTG